TCTGGTAGGATATCAAACAAAAGCGATTATGTGAATTTTGCTCTCATTGATTCTGTACACACTGTACACAGGGACAGTTTGCGCCCGTTATAGTATTGTGCCGATATACAAGTGAATAAAACGTATATAATTTAACATGTTTTGTGTGTTTATTTATCCAAATTGATTGACTTGGTCAATAAGTTTTCATACGATACATTCTAAAGTAAAGTTTGGCATTGACGATGACTTCAAACGTAGGTAATCCAAATAATAGAATAAATATCCACAAACACTTTTTAAATAAGTGCTCCATTTAGCACGATTCTTTTTTATTGAATGGTTTAAAATATATTGTAATCCAAATTTAAAGTTAAATAAAGTAACAGTAGATAAACTGAATATTATGATCATTAATAAAGTTGTAATTATTACACAACACACTACATACTTGAGAATACTTATGTTGGCACTGAGAGAGGAGAGAGAGTTATCATACTGTACTTAACTATTCACCGTAAATGCGAAAGTGTGTTTGACTGTTTGTTTGTGACGAGGTTGTCGTAATACAACCTCATAACAAGCCGCTACAAGCAGCACCTATTTACGAGTATATCAACTACATAAAGTTTGTTTCAACCCACAGATAAGTATATCTAATGAAGTATTACCATCGTTGTCAACACGAGGAAGACTTAAGTTTATGCCAATCTGGGTTACCTTCTTCATTACGATAAATATGTAAATGAATAGTTGAATAAATTAAACCAAGCAATGTATACAACAGTTGACTTTGCCGGAAGCATATCTGAAACACGGTGTGAAGGTCGTAGTATGAGGAAGGCCGCTGCGAATACTCAATTTACCTCCATTATTAACGTCGCCTTAGTATTTGGTTGTGTGATCACAAAAACGTCAGATAAAAAGTTTTTTCATATACCTATCTAAATTACTGAAAATTCCAGTATTTAATTTTCAGTATAATAAGTACAACGGATGACAAGAACAAGCAGTCAGGCAAGTTCAAAGTCGAAGTCAAAAGTTACTTAGGAATTCGAAGAAGTATTTGTTAGTTATGTACCTACCAGCTATGCCCGCTACTTCGTCCGCGTGGAATTATGCACCTTGGATAGCATAAAATATTTGTTTAACAAAAGCCAAAGAAAAAAGTTTCATCGTATCAGCTTCCAAAATTACGTTTTTCTGTATAAACTTTCATCTCCTATTTTATTTTACCCTGTTAATGGTTATTTTAAAAATCTTTAATTGTGACTATATTTCCATACAACCGTTCGTCTCCCCTTCCAACCCCTCTCTCTATTCTTTTAGACAGTGTTAGTTTTGCATTTATAATAGTAGTAAGAAGTAAAGATTTCAAATCGATTTCTCTTTCATTCGGTTCGACTAGCTACCTCTGTTGATAATAAAAATGGTATTTTGAATCAGTCGTCAATTCAACAGATGGGTTTATCTGTTATCTACAACTTCGTCTGCACAAACTCCTTAATTTCACAAAACCTTATTTCACTCCCGTCCTTGTGTCTGTCCTCGTATTACAATCTATATTTTATATCAAACTTTATAACGATCCGTTCAGCCGTTTAGTCTTGAAAATAGACAGACGAACGACAATTCAGCTATTACAGTTTAGGAGCATGCCTCCTCCGCCGCAGACAAATAAATTTTATAACACTCCTTATTTTTCGTCGCGAGGTTAAACTTAATACAAATGTTGACCTTATTTTCTATTTTACAATCATTCAAATTCACACTGGACCGAATCACGCCACGCTACTGGGTAAATAACCTGAAATGAATTAACACGGCAAAACAATGAATGTTGTGAGTCACGTTAAGTGTTGTGTATACCTTGTAAAATATATTATTCTGAAAATCATATTATACTAACTACAACTCGTGACTTGGTCTGCTTTTTTTGTTATAAACGGTAGCCTATGACCGTTCTTGTAATACAATGTATGTTAACGTCTTTCTCAATGCCAAAAAAAACGTTTATTTTCATGGATTCTCAAAAAGTTATTACTCGGTTAATGAATTCGTTAATGACAAATTAATGCTTGTAATGTATTTCAAAATGGTATCAATGTTGTAATTTTAAACATTAATTATATTTCATGTTTATGAACTATTTATATATATACTTATAGTATAAATAATTTGAAGTTCAAGTCGATTTTGATTTAGCCGCCCCCACTTTGCACAAGTCTACATGTCTTATATATATAAACCTTCCTCTTGAATCTCTTGCTAAATACTGCAATAAAATCCGTTGCATAGTTTAAAAGATCTAAGAGGAAGTGACTTCATTTTATGCTATGTAAGATTTTAGATATATAATGATTATTTATGTATTTTTTAATGCTTGTATTATCTAATGAAACGCTGGAAACGGTAGAATATGATGAAACATCTATATGATTACTATCAAATTACTGTATCTCCACACCACACTAACATATTTTTAAATCTGTTCAGCTAATTTAGACGTGAAAATTAACTAATAGAACAATGTATATATGCACACTTGAGTTTATAATTCTTGATATTAAACCGCTACTTCGTTTACTTTTGATATAATAGAGATCCTATCTATCTTCGTGATAGAATCTATTTTCATATTATTTATTCATCTGTTCAATCAAAAACCAATTTGAAACTAATAGACAAACATACTTTCGCCCAATATTAATATGGATTCTGTTATCTACTTGTCTCTCTAATTTTATTATAATTATCACTGAATGATAACGGCGCTTTTGTTTAAATATATACCGGAAATATAGTAAGATACGTAACCAAGATAATTTCCATGGTCAGCGTCATTGCCTTGCCTTTGTGCCATTGTTTGTGACCGACGCTGTATGTTTTCTTCTTCCATTGATGTCTATCAGCTGTCATAACCATGTTCACGTCACGCAATTCATAAATCCATCTATATTGTCTTTGGTTGTCCTCTTACTATCCATAACATTCGTCACAATACAATTGAATGCGTTTTACATTGAATTAGAAGAATAGGACTAATTAGTGTCATTTTAATGACTAAAAGAAAAAAAATCTCTTGAATTGTTATTTTGGCAAAAATGATATAATTTATGTAAATTTTTTATGTATGTATTTACTTAAATTGTGTTTAGGATTTTACATACACAGGTTTTTTCTCTTATAAAGTGATTTTACTAATGACATGCTTATAGGCAAAATTGGTGAAAGTGGATTTCCGTATTCTTATAATCCTGCGCCTTGACCTCACATGAAAATAAAGTAGACTAATGCCGACATAACCGGGTATAAATGTATCACATTATATTTATGTACTTAGATACGTTTTTTTACCGAAGATGTGAATAAGTTATGTCAGATTGTTAATTTCATATAAATATAATTCGTGTGGATTAGTTTAATCACTGTATTATAATTACTAATGATTGTACTGTCTGTATTATTTTATCTGGTATTGTAGAACTGCTAGCAGGACGACGTCAGTCGGATCTGCGCTTATCTTTACATAGTGTGAAATCGCTTCCGCTGTCTGTTTGCTTAGATCTTGTAAAGTATGCAACGGGTGTTATATATTTAATACAGTTTTTAGCAATAGATAGTGATTCAAGGTTTTATGTATAGTATATTTACAACCGTGCAAAGTTGGGGCGTATAAATCAATATCAACTCAAACTTAAAATTATTTATTTACTATATATAAAACAGTTTCGGCCGCTTAAGCTTTTTATTACTATCCCTATCGCTCAGTTCTGCAAGTTACTTAAGTTGAGAAGAATTTGCACATTTTTTTAGAAAAAGACTAGATTTATTTATCTCTTTTTGCTGTTTCTTTTAACATTGTAAAACATATTTCTGAAAGTTAAAAAGTTTATGAGTAGTTCCATCATATACTCATAAATAAATATAGTGTGATTATATAAATATAAGTATCTATAAATATAATTCAATATGTATATAGAATATAAATACATGTGTTTTATCTTGCGAAGTGCGTTATCTTAAAGTTAATAGTAACATTGTTGTGTTGATGTAAAACATTGGGGCAATATTTTTAGTAGCCTAGATGGCAGATAAAATTAGAAATTACGCCATCATAATATCATAACATAAGGCATTGAATGAGCACATGTTATATATTGGTTATGCAATTCGCTCAAATGGACGCAACTACAATTTTATTAGTCACAATTTCGCGTCAGTCTCTCTCAATCTCGATGAAGCTTATTAATTTTCTATCATTATCTATATGTATTCATAAATGTTTTCAATAATAGTGCTGTAATATTAATTAATACTAAATGGGAAATATTATTTTATATTATTAAAATATAAAGTCTACTGAATCAGACACTTCTAATTTTGCGTAATTAGGCTTTTAATTAAGATCTTGGTACTCGCTAACAAAGATTTGAAATGCTTTTAAAATAGATGATCCCAATTCGATTCAGATGGAATTTCGAAAATTCTTTGTTCATAAAGAAACAAAGTATTAAAAAGAGTGTGAAAATGACATTGATACATATGATAAACCTACTGGAATGATTACATATTATACATAACACACAAACGTATATAGACAGCCACCAAATTTTGTATTGTGCCTGGATCAATCACGTGACCATCGGAAGGTGAAGTGTGAACCGCTTGATCACCGAGGCCGTAACAATTGTACTTTATAAGAACTGATGCTAGATTTATCAAGAGCGTGTGTAATTAGAAAAAAAGAGACCTACATGAATAAAGATATTATGACTTATTTTTACTTCCAATGGTAGCAGGCTTCGATTCCTCGCACGATGCAAATATTTGTATTTATAAGTATGATTATTTGTATTGTTCTGGGGGATTTCTATTTATATTAAGAATGTATTTATAAAAAATGTATTTCAGTTTATTTATGTATATCGGTTATCAGTATACAGAAGCTCTGCTTAACTTGGGAACAGATCGCACTGTGTGTACTGTCCAGGGTTCTAATTATTTATCTATTGTTACAGAGGGACGACCGGTCGTTGCTAGCGCAGTTTTTCTTCGCGGATGATGCGCTCAACATGGTGGCCACGGAGCTGGATTCCTTCGACGGCCGGAAGGATCCAGAGAGGTGCTCCACTCTCGTCAATCAACTCCGGCATGCACAGGTCAGTAAGGCATTCCTTTTCACCTGGCTTTTACGTAATCAATTTTTAACAAGTAGAAATGTTATCATTTTCAAGTATATATAATACTAGCTGTACCCGCGACTTCGTCCGCGTAAAATAGTGACCTTGAGCAAATAATAAAAAATATATATTAATAATCTAACCCAATAAAAAAGTTTCATCGTTCTAGCTTCAAAAATGAAATTTCCATACATAATTCCATACAATTCAATCAACAGCCAAAAACTAAGTTTCAAACTACTATCTTTAAAATGAAGATACTTCCATACATACCATACATACATTACATCTCCCCTTTCAACCCCTTATAACCCTTTTTCTTGTTTTTTTTAATGCTACTTATATTAGTGTCATCATGTACCAATGATAAGATGTCGCTATACTGTAACTATTTATGGCTGAGTCCTGTGGCGGTAGGTACTGATATTTTCTCAACAGCCTAAAAAATGGGTTTCAAGTTTCTAGCTTTAAAAAATGACAATACATGCATACATCATTTTAACTCCCCTTTTGACCCTTACAACCCATTTTCGTTAATTATATTTAATCAATACGCAAAAAAATAAGATTGAAGCTTAAACTTTTAAAAAATTCCTCTTTCAGTCTCTTATAACCCTTTTTAGCATTAAAAAGTAACCTATGTCCTATCTCAAGATCTAGACTTTAAATTTCATTTAAATGAGTTCAGAAGTTTTGGCTTTTAAGACAGACAGACAGAGTCACTTTCACTTTCATAATATTAGTAAGGTATTTATTAAATAAACTGATCCAAAAAAGCGTAAGAAAAAAGCTTCATCGTTCTAGCTTCAAATATGACGAATTTCTATAAAAACTTTTATCTGCTATTTTATTTTACCCCTTGAATGGTGACAATGTGATATTTACAAATTTAAATATCATATTTGTTTATATTTAATAAACAGTTTAAACATTTCTTTAAATTCTTTTGAAAATTGGTGGTCCAGTTGGCCAATAACATAATCAAAATAATAGATGTGATATTCTAAATTGCAAACTATCCCTCTACTTGCGCGAACCATATCTCTGACTCTACTGGCCAGAATGGAGAAACGCGTATTCCGAACCTGAATAGCTCGGATGGAACGGTAGATGTTGTTTCTTCCAAGGAAATGTTGTTCATATGTATTGACAACATTTTTAATATTATATGTTGTTTTATTCTTCAAAAATATTAATAATATGTTCTTACGCTCTTGTCCAAGAGCAGGGTCATCAGTTATAGGCTATACCAGGATTATATTTATGTATTTATAAAATAAAATTGCAGAGCAAACGTTTATTCATTTAAATTATAATGTTATTCATTTAAATAATTATATGAAATTAAAAATTTTTGGTAACACAAATTTCATTTAAATCAGCATTACCATTTTCAACCCCTTACAACCCTTTTTTCAGTAGTTTTGGCGTGAAAGCGAGACAGACAGACAGACAGACAGAGTTACTTTCGCATTTATAATATTAGTAAGGAAGTAAGGATTATTTTCTTGCAATCGACTGTTTGTCAGTGATAAATGTTACCTGGGATCCATGATACGAATATATAAGAATATGACAAAATTTCTTATATTACTTCAATTTGGTACGTGAACTTCGTACATCATTGTATTTTGACCGCTTTTTTCTCATTGTGATATTGATTTTGTCTTTGTAAGTCAAAATCTCCTATGAAATCATGATATCCTTATAGTAAAGGCCAAAAATCTTGTATTTGTACGAGGATCCTCGTACAGTTGGAATCACTGCTGCGATAAACCATTTACGCTTGATAAATGCGCACGCCAATTGCTTCCATCTTGAACTTTAATACTTATCATCTTCCTTATCACTTATTTAAAGTGACAAGTGCAATTTAAATTACACATTATTAATATATTAGCATTATATACTCATAAATTGTTAAATATGTTTAAGTCTTTGTTAATCAATGTTATTACGTTACTTTATTTGTATGTATAAAGTTTTAGAAATATGGAAGCGCAAATTGCTTTAAATACTTATTTGTACTTAAATTACCGAAATATTAGAACGTTTCGATCAAGAGATAATGTGTTTAGTTAAGTATATGTTGCTACCATAATTAATTAATGGAGATTGCATATTGTAAATGTTCATGCTTCGCTTAAAGGTTGCATATCTTCGGAAGCAGAGTCTCGAGGACAAAATTGGTACCTTAATGTGTAGGCGTAAACTATAGTTCTTATGGAATGCTGCATCCTCCTGCGGTAACGGTTTACGCTTGCGGTGTCTGGTCAGTTAGCCCATCCTGGTAAATTCACCTTGAATTTATAATGATGGTTTCCTTGGGTAACCACGTGAAGGTCAATCTGACATGGTACATTGCTAGCAATGGGATTATTAGTCCACATTATTAATCAATCCCCTTCCCCTCATAAGTTGTGGTTAGACAAACCATATGAATCCTTGTTCGTCGCGTACTTCTTTGAACTATGGAATCTAAATGCTTTAAGGGCTATTTACAAGGTTGCAAATAGCATTACTATCTACGTTTCTTAATTTAGTCAACTGATAAAAGAGGTTTTTGATCTCATTGTTTTACTATGGCGAAATGTTTTACTACACCTTACTCTTTGGTTACAATACTAACCAAATAGGTCCTCACCTCTCAGAAGTAGGAACCCAAAACCTTCAAGCATGGATGTTTTTACTTTTGGAATGGATCAGTTTACTGGCTGGATGCTGTTTTCTATTGACGTTCATCATATCGTAGATTAGAGATGCTTAGCTAAACTTATTCGCACAGCTTCTTTCCTACGCACAATCTAATGAAACTTGCATCTAATTTCGTAGTTATGCCATTGACATACTATCTATTCTAAATTTATATCTAGTTTAGTATCACGACACAAGATACTAGATACAATGAGATTCGGATGTTATTTCAACTGTATGTGATAGACATAAAGTCCATTTTAAATTAAAACCAAGTTTTGTATCGTATGAAATAAAATGAAACTGGGTATCATTTTTCTATATATGATTGACATTTCAGCTATACAGTGTTTATACTATTTCGTATCACATTTATTATTCCAATAACAAAGGAATGGAATTCAGGTGATTGTGTTTCCATTATTTAAATACCTGCGCGTCACGTGTTTATCTTAATATATACAATTGTTTTGTACGTGTGCTTGTCACCATACCTCTAAAGCTGGATCAGAGCAGGACGACCTTTGTCGGGTGAGCTAGTTTAGTAAAAATTCAAAATATACATAGCCAGGCCATAAATGCTGCTACAATTAAAAATCAATATAATATTACATTTGAATTTGGAATCTGTCATTGTTTTATGAATGTTCATTGTGGTTTCTTATTTTCGCGCCAATCGGTTGACCAATATTTTTCTGATATAAAAATGGAGTGGGGTGATAAAGAATACAGAAACGCTGTGATTGTATTACACAAAGTAGGTATGGAGCCAACTGGCTATAACGTTTAAATGACTGCAGCCAATGGAGATCATTTTGAATATACTATTTAAATTTTTATGTCTACACTAACACCCATCACCGTAATAAATGTTATATGCAATAGAAAAGATAAAGATTGTTCCTTGTAACAATATTTATGGCAAAACTATGGTATTTTCATATTTCCATTTCACGTTTCTTGGTAAAAGTGGTTCAATTTCGTGAGTATTCAATCTGGCTCTTGGAATTGTAACCTTTAAGACTAAACCTGTATATTTGATAGACTTTATATTATTATTTGTGTTGTTGTAATACCCATTCACACTCTTTACGTACAATGAATATGAGGCAACTCGGTAATTATTCAAATATGGTTTTGCGTAGTTTTTTTTATATTAAATGACTCACTCGCAATCGAGTAGTATGGAGGTCGGTTGATAGTGTTTATACAATACGTGTCATGCCATGTGGTTACCGGTCTTGCGCTTTATCTGCCACTACCTTGAAATAGGATGGTTTGTGGTCACATATAAAAAAAAAATTTTAAGATTTTTATTATTTTTTCTTTTTTTTAAACCTAGGACAATTCATACAGCGCCATGTAGTTACGAACTAAGTAGAGCTTGTTGTATTTAAGTACTAAATAACTGTAGAGATAATTAAAGACTTTATATTTGTAAATATATATATATTCTATGTAAAGGAAGCGCCGAGACACAGAAAATCTACATAATCGTACTCCTACGAATGTTTCTATCATTGATTCGAACCCACGATCATCGGATGTAACATGTTAAAGTAATGGACTACAGAAAACAGTCGTTTTAATTTAATCATCTTTCTCTATATATATACTATAATAATTTTACTATATTGTATAATACATTTCTTGTTGTCTGGTTTTTAATGTTACTGCTCTTACATGTTTTATATTTTAGGATTAGACAAAATATTTATGATGATTAGCTTCGTGAATAAGTAACACGGGTTTAAGTTTTCGTATGTTGTAGAGTTATATAGTTACAAAAATATTTATAACTATGTAACTCTACAATATTATCTCAATAGATCTTCTAGGTTAGGTATTCGTATTGTACTATATTATTGAACTCGTCAGCTTAAATACAAATCTAGTTCCATCTACATATATAGGTAATATTGTAAACAGAGAGAAAGAGGATTTTGTTATGAAGAAAGTAAACTCCGGTCACTGCACTGACTTGAGAAATTCTTTCTTTGTATGAAAGATGTATATATTCCAGAGTAACATATACCTATACATTATAGTAATAATAATATGATATACAATATATAAAACTAAAAAAGAACGCCTAAAAGAACGTCCGTCGAGCGAACTAATGGCAGCATTAGTAAAAAATATTCCCCTTGTGCGACAGTTGTATTGATTGAATACTTATTTGAGTTTGTTTCAAAAAAATTTTGCACGGGGATACGTTAATTTGTTTTATTAAGATGTAGTGTTTACATACTTAAAGTAAACGTGTAGAATACAAGTTTTCTTTGTCGCTAATAAACTGTTTGGGATTGTAAACCTTGACTAATGTATGTCATTACTACGTGAACGGAATTGTTACGGGAAGGGAATTGTTAGTAATGTGGACTGTTGACCCCGACTCCACGCAGTTCCCCCTGGAAACTATCGTGATAAATACCTGGTGAATTTACCACGATTGGATGGATAGAATAGGATAGGATGAGCATGAGGTCAGGCTAGTTAAGCTTGACCTCATGCTCATCCTGTCATCCTCCACTGGTGTCCCGCCAGCGTAAACCGTTAGCGCAGGTGGGTGCACCATTCCATTATCATTCATAATATTCCCTAACACAATACAGTGTCGCCATTATCATCCATTAAAAAATAACATTTTTACTGTGTTACGTTTAATATGTATTCACTTTTGATAGTGATTTTTTTAGGTCGGGAAAATTTTCATAGAGTCCCATCAGCTTAAGATGCCACTGAGGCTATAAACCTGAAGACTATTCCTCTTCAAACTTATTGCCGTGGCCATGGGATCACTTTCGCATACTCCAAGACCACCGGCACAGTTTCCATCGAAGGGATGTACATATAGGTGTGCACGGAATAGTTTCTGCACGCCACCTACAGACCCCTAATGCCTCCCGGAGGCTCTATTGGGCTTAGATCGTATCCTAAATCGCCCTGTCTGTAGGCAACACTAACTAATCTAACAGCTATAATAGTGACTTTAGTGAAATAGATTTATTCTCCTGTAAACTTTCTTCTTTCAAAAACCAAATAACGAATGAACTGAGGCGTAAATATCATCTTTCGTAACTAACATAATAATTATTTGTAGTATTGTAGTCTACAGTGTATTCATCATAAATTTTTTAGTTTTCTTTGTATTGTTAATATAAAATAGTTTTGTTAAGAGTTGGTAGTGGTAGTTAATTAATAAGTAACATAATCTCTGTAACATGCCTTAGGCAGTATTGTATAATTATAGTAATCAGTGGTTAACGTAGTGGGTGACACATTTGTTAAAATTTATTAGTAAATAGCCATAAGTCATATATATAATGTGTAACTGTTTGTTGACCTAAATAAATTAAAGAAAAAAAAAAACACGACTGAGAGAATAATAATAATGATTACGTTTTATCTTCACACGAGGCGATCTAAGGCTCGTGCCACTACTGTTCTTATATTACCAATTATTTAGGACCGTGTATAGACGTTTTAAGATATTACTGTAACATACTACTATTGACAGCCTTGTCATCTAATAATCATTATGAAGCCGTGTGCGTATGTATATGATAATATTGTAAACAAATTCTATAGAGGTTTCTTTATTTTTATCTATTGTATTTTACAATGCAGTTTATAACCCAATGACTTGTTATATAATTGCAATAGGGAAATATTTCCTGTATTGTATCATTCTTGAGTAAGTAAATACGATGTTTACATATAGAATGTTTTGCTTATTGTCTTCTCACAAAAACTTATGGATGCGAAAATATTTCTGTTCAAACAAGCATGAGCTTGTCTACCTGTTACCTTGGTTTACCTGTTAGTCCTGATATTATCTAACGCCCGTGATATCTCTCCGAGGTTATGAAAGACCAAAGTCAGGTTAGCCATTACCATCATGGCGTATTTACAAGACGTTCCTCACGATGGCTTCGACAGTGGGGACATTTGAAAACCACTTTTGAACAATAACTTTGTTATTCTATTAATTATTGTTTGTCAGATTTAGCGTATAGAGGATATATATATATACGATACAATATATATATATACATATACGATATATAATATATATATATAATATATATACGACAAAAAAACATTTGTTCAACTTATGTGTATATATATATATACACATAAGTTGAACAAATGTTTTTTTAAGCTCTTCTAGCTTTAAAACAATCTGTTACAATCTTTTAAACTAAAAGCGACGCGATGAAATTATGGGATATACCAAGGAATAACAACGAACTGAGTGTACTAAGAAATTTAATGGGTGACCAAACAAAAACCTTTACGAGTGTACGTTTTCCTTGTTATTAAATAATTCTAAGAACTAAATATTAATTAAATTAAATAGAATCACACATCTCCTGCACTTTTTTCCTTCATTTATTTTACCTCAAAAAGGTTTTGAATTACTACTATATGCGATTACTCGCGACTTTGCTGGCTTTCTTAACATAGAAGATAGTGTGACAAAAGTAAATAAATATAATCAAAAATAACTCAGTCATAGTTATCAGAGCTAACCAGTCCTCATGCAATACCATCAGTATCTGTCAATTGAGTAAATAAATGTCGTTTAGAAATGTACAGGCGTTCGAAAACTAGTGTTTTTTATAATTATACCATAGATGACAGACAATATGCATAGACTATCTGTTGTTGGCAGCTTGTCCAACATTATTTTTATACATATGTGTATTATTTAGAAACCTGCTTTTAACTTATAAGCCGTTTTTTATTAAATATTTGTAGTGATACCGCATCACTGATAACAATGATTGATTAGATGAATGAGTAGCTATTACATTTATTTACTTTTGTCAGTCTAGCTATGGGGCAATTCGTATTCAATTCAAAATCTTAAATGTGTAATGCCGAATAACATTCATTTTAAAAAGCAACACGCAAGTTCCTTTCTCGTTTGATAAGGATGAATTAAGAATGAGCGGTAGAATCAGAATTATATGACCATTCAAAAGTGCTTATATCATTTTAGTTTCATAATGAATATTATTCTTATTAGTTTATGTAGGTATAACGAAATGGCAAAAAATACCATAAATAAGCCAACTCCTCTATTTTGTAAGTAAGTTACTTAATTATAAAACTAAATTATTATATGTACTCCATTAATATGTAGGTACTAATCAATGGAGTAGGTGCATATATATTAACAATAATATTTAAGTATGTCTTCCCTTTTAGAATTAAGGATAAAGCGTATTTATTATACACCTTTTAAAATTTCAATAATCAGTTATTTTTGCTGCGCGTTGACTCATCAACTGGACGTTTGACTTTTTAATTAAAGAGATATCAAGCATGGCTATGTTATCATAGCAACAAAGTGTAGCTCGGCGCACACTATTTAAGGATATTGCCTAATATGAATAGTTTCAGTAAAATTAGAAAATTTTTCTTCCATTATATAGTCGGTATATGACGCGAACGTGCAACAAATAGCAAATGATATTTCAAATAACACAGAGGTCACATTCAGAATCTGGTAAACATTGCAATTTACAGGTGACTGACTCTCCACCTATATATACACATGTTCAGTTCAGGGTTAATGAGTACAAACTTATCACGGCAACTTACCAAAATAAAAAATACTATAAAAATGACTTATCTTTTAATTCAAGGCAGATAAGCATTATTTAAGTGTGATGTTATAGCTCTCGTATAAATTTATGTAATATAAGTGACATCCTCTTGGTGCTTTTTCCTTTTTTTAAATAAATGATAGCCTATGTTTGACACGTAATCTATTTTTACCTCAAATTACACTAAGATGTGTTCAGCCTGTTTTTTAAAAAGTAACAAGCATACGGACAGACACGTTCGCATTTATAATGTTAGTTGTGTGTGTGTTTCAACCAGGTCCGTGTGATCGTTGAGAATCATTACAAAACATCAAATTGTAAATAACTCATAATTATATATTTTTATATATATTTTAACAAGCGAGGACACAGAGTTTCTCAATTTCAAAACTATAAAATAAAAAAATATATATAACGTTTATAATATTAGTAATATTACATTTCCAGGACCGTGTCTTAAACATCACAAGTCAGATAATGGACCAACTGTTGGGAGACGAGAGGGTGGCGAGAGGGTTCCGCGTCAAGTTCCCTGAAGACGTCCTGCAAGATAACCTAGCGGGGCAGTTGTGGTTTGGTGCCGAGGTGAGCTCATTTACATAAGGAGAAATTCCATTGAATTATGCATTATACATGTTAGGTGTTTAGTTACTAGGGCATACCGAAACGAGTTGACATGCCACCTATAGAAAGTAACAGGTGACTCTAGACATGAATATTCTAAAATATACCTGATACAAGTTTATGCCTCTTATGTCGAGAGTTTGGTTATAATCTAGAAATAGTCTTTCTTAATTTGGGCAGTAATACAATTAATATATTACTTACTTATATTGTAATGTCTATATCAGAAATATGCTGTGGTAAAAAAAAACACAGTAAGAAAATATTATATTTTTTTATTTAGTGGTGGTTATATTTTTTTATAATAGTTTATAAGTGTTATATTTTAGTAAGTCGGTGGTGTAAATAAATTTTAGTCAGGCTTTTTTGTACTTTAATTATTATAATTTATAAATGCCTTATACATAACACCAAGGAGGTAGCGAAGCCTTTCTGATGTACCTACATTTAATAAAAATGTAAAGTAAAATATATTGTCTGTCTGCCACTAAACTATATGAGAAACACTATTACTGGGGTACTTTATCAACAAAATAAAATCCATAACAACTATTGTTAGAGTTTTTCCTGTTTGTCTATATATTCGGGCACTTTTCACTAATGTATTGCGGTAATCTGTACTTAAAATTTATTATATTGCATTTTTATATTACAATTGGATTAGAAACAAAAAAGTTATATGTATACTAGCTGTCCCGCAAATGTTGTTTTGCCATATAAATTAATAACGCTATAAAAAAATTGCGGTTGGTGATAGAAGGGTGAAAATTTAGGGTTGTATGTATTTTGACACATAATAAAAAAATATAGATAAAATTTTTTTCCAAAAAACTAATGTTAGGGGTGGACAACCCTTATCACCTAGGAGTATGAAAAATAGATAGTAGCATAGAATATGCATATAAAATTTCATAAAAATCGGTCAAGCCGTTTCAGAAAAGTATGGTAACTAACATTGTGATACGAGAATTTATTATTATTATGTATATGAAGTTGCGGACTGAGAACAATAATTGACATTATATAGATAAGCCCGACTTAAGGTAGCCCGATTATGATACTAATGCCACAGTATACAGACAGAAGTAATCGATGAGGTTACTCAATCTCTGCTCTCTCTCTAAAGTCTACATGCAAAGATTTATCATACTGTGTATCTCAATATTCTATTCAAATATTTCAGTGTCTCGCGGCTGGTTCCTCCATAATGAACAGAGAAGAGGAATCTGCAGCGATGCGACCTCTAGCCAGAGCGTTAACGCGGAGTCTCGAAACTGTAAGGTCACTCCTCCGTGAGCAGTGTCTGAGGCCCAGGGAGTTGGCTCTGTCCCAACATGATGACATGCTGCAAGAGAGCCTCAGGATATTTGACAGGTCAGTGCTAATAGTAGCAATAAGCATGCTAAATATTTATATTCTGTAATAATACTAATAATAACCCAGGACAATTCACACTTGTCGTCTAGTCCCAAGCTAAGCAAAGCTTGTGTTATGAGTACTAAATTACAATAGAAATAGTTGTGTTTTTGTAAATTAACGTACGTTTCATGAATGCGAATGTTTGTATCGTTAAGGAAATGAACCCACGACCGTGGAAATAAGGCGGTGTGCTGAAATAATAATAATAATAAAGGTCTATATTAAAATAATCTTACTAATATTATAATCGTGGAAGTTTGTGAATGTGGAAAGATGAATGTTTGTTAGTCCTCGCAAAAACTACTGAATGGAATTGAATGAAACTTTACAATAATATAGCTTATACATCATAATAACACATGGGCTATAAATTTCACGCGGCTAAATTGCGCGTACCACTAAAGTTTTTGTAATATAAACCTTTTTAATAGTATTTTTATTTATTTTACTGCACATTTCAGCCTTAACTAGGAGAACTTGTTATTTTTTTAAAAATCGGGTTGGCAAATAAGCTGTTGGTTCACCTGACGATCATCAATATATGTAGGTACATGTATAGAAGTTCAGACAATACGTTATAGTGTCACACCCGTGCATTGTCATTCCAGAGGACTATGCTGTCATTCCTCGTATCTTGTAGTTTTAGTGAAAATAAAAAATGATCTTTCTTTATCTATATTACCTACACTAGTTTCATCCTGTGGATTTTTGCGTAGTAATGAAGTAAGAATGCAATGTTTCATCACTCCTTTTTATCTCCAGGATGTTGTTGAAGTGCTAAACGAACAAAACACTAATATTAGTTCTCTTAAGGCAGGAAACGTTGAAATATAACTATTTATCAAGACACCTGCTGGTCTGCTCTGGCAACTAATTCCTATCCAATCAAATTTATCTTCGTCATTTTTCGCTTTTGGGTATACTAGTAACATGTTAATTTCATGCTTTGTGTTCAATGAAAATGACGACCTCGATGGTCTAGTGCTTTAGCATACTGCCTTAGTTGCGATGGTCGCGGGATCGATTCTTAGCATAATACAAACATTTATATTCATGGGTATGATTGTTTGTATTTACATAAAACAATGTATATTGAGTAGTATCTCTAACTGTTGTTTAGTTTAGTACCCATAACACAAGCTCTGCTTAGCTTTAGACTAGATGGCGCTGTGGGAAGTGTCCAGGGTTATTGTTAATATGTAATATTAAAATAATTGTTTTTGTTAACGAGTTATTCGGTTTAGTCTTGTTTATCTTACACAGCAATGTAAAAAAATGGATTCTATTGAAATTAGAGTTCAGACTAAACCTGCTGGACTGTTTAGTAATTATAGTCTGAATTATCCTCGTATGGTCACATACGAGGAACTTTAATAAATATTATAAATAAAATTCAAGTAAAACCGATGAAATAGCACCTTTTTATAAAATCTGTTCATTTAAGCAGCATCTAAAACAAATAAAGATGTAGGTGTTTCATGTTCTTCACGTTCTGTAAAAATTTTATCACAATTTCTCCAGCCATTTTATATGAAACATTAAACAGTTAAAGAAACAATTTTTGCTTCTTCACGACTTTATTATATTAGTATGTAAAGATAAGGATTAAGAGGAAGACAAATTCTTTCCAGATTGTTCGCCGAGTTTGAACTGTGCTATGTGAGTGCGATGGTGAACGTGAAGACCCCACACGAGTTCGAAGCTCAGCAACTCATCTGCGTTCTGTTCTCTGAAAGTCTCAGGCGGGCGCTCAAGCAGAATCTTCTCACACAGGAGCAGGTTAGTCTGAACTTTGTTTTTAAAGTATAGAAGAATTAGGTATTTTTCCCGTTCTTTCGACGTGACTATGTTATTAATACATGTTTTTTCCTGTATTCTTTGAAGATATCGATTCTCTATTTTAATTTTATTAGTTTTTATGTAGTAAAATTAGATATTTCTAGTATTCTCTATGCCAAGACTATCTAGTCTCAAATCACTATCATGTCTTATGAATACTAAACAGCTCAAGAAATTCTTTTACATTGTAGAGAAACACCCAGATTAATACAAACAAATGTACTCATGTTAGTGTTAACAGGGAATCAAATCGATGATTCACCGGAAGTAAATTGGTGTGTTAAACTGCTTGACCACCATATTCAGAATTAGTCAGTATAAATATTAGTGGAGATGTATGTAAAAATACACTATTAATCTGCCTAAAATAATAAAGATAATGAAATATTTATTACTGTGTCATTCCAGGTGGACTCGTACGATCCAGCATTGATGTTCGCTGTCCCCAGGCTGGCTATAGTCAGCGGTCTCCTTATCTACTCAACGGGCCCATTGAGCATAGACAATCCACCAGGTATGCTGCTTTTATACACTGTTTAAAACGAGAAAGCAGTAGGCATAATAGGACTATGATTTTTTTAAGTTGTTCTTTACCAATTACACGGCAGTGGTTATATCATTAGGTGAGGTGTCAAGCATAATTACCATGCCAGTTATATAAAAAATTTTTGGATAACTTTTTGTATTCTACTTCCAGATGAAATGTCAGATATGTTCCGCCCCTTCCGCACTCTGCTTCACAAGATCCGCTCGCTACTTTGGACTCTAGACCGCCGCGAGTTGGTAACCCTTGAACGGCTACTCTGCACCAATGAAGATCTCTCCAGCCTCGCCTCACTTGATCTCCCTCCAGGTACAAACCTCAGTTATTACCTAATATTCTATGGTACAAGAACGTCGTGGACTAATTGCTACACTGGTATAAAAACCGTGTGACAGTATAGGGTTACGCATAGGAATATTACCTGTAATTTCTAGTAGTAAGATAGATAGATATTCCTTATTCACCAATTAAAAACACAGCATAATTAAGTTACAGTTAGCTCAGACTTACTAGTTTTCGATTGTGATATACGATCACAATTTACAATTTACTTGTAATTCCCAATAGTATAAATGTAATGTAATTGTGAATATAATATTTAATTGTTTTAATGATTAAATTATTTCAGAGTCTCTGTCGAAGAATGAAGATTCGTACCCATATCCAGACATCGGCGAGTTCGTATCGCAGTTTTATGCGGACCACGCGTACTGTCGGGACCTTTACACACAGAGGTATGGGTTACTGTCCCACTACTTTTAGATGTATGTAGGTCGCAATGCACCTAAACTCCTCCAATAAAACATAGTCTCACAAATTAATTGTTTACTAGTGTTTGCCTGCGATTTTATTCCCGTTATTATGAGTGACATGTAAAAAGTATTCTATGTTCTCACGGATCACGTGAACTGCTACATGGATGCCAAATTTTATGATGCTTGGTAAAGATGTAAAGCGTAAAGGAATTAACTAACGTAATTATGTATTTATACTAAACACACTAGCGTTTACTTGTTATTTTTGTCTGCTTTTCGACTCCCAAAACTATCCCGTTTTGGGAGTCGAATGTAGACACGCATTTACGATATTAATTAGTCATAGATACTTGTGATATATTTGAGTTTTTCCATCCGCAGCTCCACCGAACCCACGATAACAGAAGATGACTACTTGCCAGATAATGTTGAAGTGATGACACCTATCATCGACGGGTTACGACGACTCAACAACGACTCAGACACTGAAACCGAATCGAACCGGAACACGATTGACACTACCAGTACTGACACATTCCAAACAAACGACAATGTCAATGACAGTAAAAGAAAACCCAGCAAAGCAGAGAGCAGTGACATTTCCACCGACAATCACGTAGAAGCGAGAAGAAAGTCGACCCGCGAGAGCAGTGACCTCTCCTCGCTACGTAACTTATCAACCAATGGTCTGATGATGTTTGATCCTTTGGTCATCAATGCAGCTGCCTCGACGTCAACAGAGAATCGCCCTCTACCAGACAATGATCTGGTGACGTCACTCAACGAGCAAGTAACGGAAATTGCCGATCGTCTATCTTCAATCGCAACTAGCGACGTAGAAATGGACCACAATCAGAAATCGTACTCTACAAACGATGTGCCCACACTAGTAACGAATGACGGGGAAACGTTCGGTTTCAATGGACCCAGGAATGAGCAGCTTACCGGCATGCCATCCACTAGTCATGGTTACTTAATACCGAACGCGATCAGTCAAGAGCCTGTCGTCATGTCATTGTCGCATAACAATTCAGCTATTTTTAACCAAGACGCTGATAACTTAGATATTAATAATACTATAATGAACTCTGATCTCCCTCTTATAATTCCTGACAATATAGATACACAAATATTAAATACTAACATATCTATAGCAAACGCAAATTTAAGTTCTTTATTGCTAACTAACGAAGAGTTGAGGCAGAACTATATAGAAGAGAACGCGGAGGACAATACGAGTTTTCATTCTGCCAAAATGGTACTTGATAGAGATGAAAATGAGAAAGTTAAGTTTATGTTAGGTTATGAAAGTGACCACGAATCACCAGTTGATTCTGGAGTCAGTACAGAAAACACTAGTTTAGATAGGTCTCCTGATACAGAACAAAGTAAAGACATCAAAGATAATCATTTCATGCAACAGAACAGGGTATTAGAAAGTCCTGAGGAGAAAGACACCAAAAACACTCTAGAAAGTTCCTTTTCAGAAGTTAATAATGAGGTTGTAAATATAAATTATGTTGAGCCGGATACGACCAAGAATGAAGCTGGGTCTTCTAGCATAGATGTGTTAAATAGAATAAGCTCAGATGAGGAAGGGTCAAACGAGGCGACCAATGTTAAAACCCGACCTCGCATTTTAACTACTGCCGACATAGAATACATGACTATAGATGAAGTATTGGCAGAATTAAATAGGCATAAAGTAATAGATAAGAGTATACGTGCGCTATATGAAGACAATAATGTTAGTTCTAGTACAGATGTTGTGCCGAATTCATCACACAGCAATTCTAGGCAGAAGAGTCGGCAAGCAGGCAGTAAGAGTAAGAAAAAGAAGAATAAGACGTGGTCACCAGGAATGGTCTTATTGGATAGGTCTAACCATGACCAGAATTCTTTGAGGTTCGATTTGGATTTCTTTGATGAAGAAAGGTGAGTTTAAATATGAAATTCTTTTATTGGCTTTGTTGTCTTAATTACTTTTTAAATCATGCAGTATTATAAATCGTATAAAGAACCATAAAAATGCATATGCACAAGTTCTTACAGGCTTCTTCAAATTACAAATTATTATGATATCTAGTGTTTTAATATTTTATAATAAGTTTCACACTGTACGTCAGTGTGAAACTTGTTCAAAATCATCTATGTGGGTACATCTGTCTCATTTATTTCTCTAAACAACAATCTCTTTGTTGCATTGTTTTGTAAGCTGTTTTCGGTAGCAAGTGTATTTTTTTATGATTCATATTGGAATGGTGCAACCTTCGCTAACGTCATACGCTAGCGGGGCACTAGTGAAGGATAAGTATGAGGTCAGGTCATTCGTCAGTAAGCCCATTGTGATGAAATCATTTGGAATTAACCACAATGGTGACCAGAAGGAACCACATGAAGATTGACCTGACATGGGGTCTCAGTCCCCATTACTTACAATCCCTCTCCCTCCAGTCGGAAGTGTATTATATGATGACCAGCAGGTGTGATATCAATTTGATTGTTATCCTAGTTACTTAAATAAAAAGAATAATTATACGTATATACGGCGTATTGAGTTACGTGTCATAAAATTTCATAACTTATGTATATATTTTTTTAATTGCAAGTAGCACGTCGTATTGCACTTGTGATTGCACTGATGACGAACAAATCGCAGTGGCTCTACAAGCGCAGGAGTTGGCGGCTAGACAGCAGGCTCGGCGAAAGTTCAAGTAAGTCAATGTCATGCATTTTTTACGAAATTAATGTATAGTTCTACTGTAATAGAGTATATAATTTATTTCTCTTTAATTTAAATATTTTTTGGGGTCGGTAGAAAGACATGAATGCCATTTAATAACAACCCCGATTTTCCTACTTCATTAACATATTGTCTAATGTATATATTAACTCACGTTAAAAGCATTTTTAGCCATATAGATATGCTATAATATCAATAAAGAAAAATTTGGATTTTTGTATGTTTATAATTTTTTTCAAATTTCAATTGTAAGAATATTATTTAATGCAATTTTGTCAGCAAGTAATATAGGAGAAATTTCACTTAGGAAAGAATTTAAATCAATAATTTGTCATTTCATTTACAGATCGAGCGAGGATTTAATCCACCGTTTGTTTGTATGCATCGCGGGCGTTGCCGACCAGCTGCAGACAAATTTTGCGGCGGATCTGCGGAATATTCTCAAGTCCGTCTTCGTTATGAACCAAACGCCGGATGATCCCGAAATACCGGAGCCACCGGCCGAAGAGAAGTCTGATAAGTCACCCACCATAGAGTATGAGGTGACCGAGGATCAAGTCATACAAAATGGTTCGTTGAAAAGCTTATTATTGTTATAATGTATTTGTATTAAGTAACTTTTACAAGCTTTCTATGGTCTCTGTAGTTTAGTTTGTTAAGTACAGTAGAGAGTTACTTGCGATGACCGTGGCTTTGATTCCTTGCATGTTAAAAACATTTGTATTCATGAGTATGATTGTCTTTCTGGGTCTGGGTGTTTTCTATGATAATATGGAATGGTGCACCTACCTGCGGTAACGGTTTACGCTGCAGGGTAGCAGTGGAGGATGATAAGATGTACGAGGTCAGGTCAGTTAGCCCACTGTGACACACTCACTAGGAATTCATCATGATGGTTTCCAGGGGTAACCGCGTGGAGGTGACCCTGACATGGTATATTACCAGTAATGGGGTCATCTGTCCACATTACTAAAAAACCTCTTTCCTCTTGGTTACTTAAAATTACAAGTACAATAAGTAGCTTAATATATTTTTCTAGTTATATTTTTATAATAACTTTGACTAGCCTTCGACGGCTTTGGTGGTCAAACTATTCTGATGAAACTTCACAGTAATATAGCTTATGCATCAGAATAACACATAGGCTATAATTTAAATAAATATATAATTTAAAAGATATTATGGAAATTGAGCAAAATATATATATTTATTACATAAATATATTGTATAGGCAGCGCGCACAGCTGCGCGCGATAATACATATAAAATTAAATTAGATAAACGTTTGCTTTGATATTTTATTTAAATATATATAAATATTAGAGATAATGTGAGTTAAATTAGATAAACGTTTGCTTTGATATTTTATTTAAATATATATAATTATGCCCATATAATGTCAAGATATTATAATTTAGAGTAATGTAGACTTATAAATATATATAATTATAAATGTCAAGTAAGTGTAATGTAGACGAAGTTGCACGGGACTAGTATGTCATAAATGGTCATTTATTTATGATTTCAGGTAGCTCATTTGATAGTGTATATTCAGCAGAAGAGGTGTACGCGGACAGTACGTCAGATTCGACGCCGTCGGAATCGAACTCGCGGCTGGTGCGACGGAATACCGTCAACGCGACCACCCTCGCTGCTGAGCAGGCGGCCGACAGTAGGAGGAAGGCAGTAGATAATACTAGTAATCTGCAAGCTTCAGTGTCCATTGGTGATCTCAGTTATAGGTTAGTTGTGATTTTGTAAATATGCCAGCTGTTTCATATGAGGAACTATTTCAACCGCTCCCATAGAATATTTAGATATACATACATGTATATATCTTACCCAAGTAGACTTAATATAAGCACTTTTGAATAATCTTGAAATTTATTTATTTCACCGCTTATTCGGAATGCAGACACATCACAAGAAGAATGAGCAAGATATATAGATATATATATATATATATATATATATATATATATATGTATGGCATCTAAGAATTTTAGCAGATACCTTTTTTTAAAGTTACAAATAGTTGCAATAATATCAATGAAACAAAATTTTCAATTTTAAGTCTGCGTATGTCGATAAAGTGGAGATCAAAATTCAGTATTAGTACGACACGAAGTTGTAACAAACAATTTACATTCACTGCGACAGTGTGTTCTAGATGAAAGTCAATAATTTCACAATAGACACTATTGTGTAATTATTGACATTAGAAAACATGTCCCAACTTATTTCTGCAATATTTGACGGTATTTACAGGGAGGAGCGTCGGACAGCGCAAAGTACAGTCGGCAGCAATACGGGCGTTAGTACGGGCTCGAGTACAGATACGGGCGCGGGTGTGGAGAGGCTACCTGAATGGGTGCCTGATATTGCTGCGGCCGCCTGTATGCGCTGTCAAGCTCACTTCACTGCATTCCGCCGTCGACACCACTGCCGGAACTGTGGTATGCTACTTCGCTATTTATCGCTATTATTATCTATTTTCGCCCAAAGTCGAAATGAATACATATATATTATAAGTTATTATCCAAGACTATACATCATTTAGTCTATTGTGAAACTAACTTCAATGCGTGTGTGATTCAAATACGAAGTAGTGTTTTTTTAACGATGTAATATATTTATTTATGCATAATTTAAAAAAAAAATGCCTTTCTGCACTGCTCTATATAAACTAGAAGTGTGCGAAATTTCATACTCTTCCGCTCAATTTTCATAAGGTGTACAAAGTAGCATAATATTGACACTAATATGAATCAAATCAAATTATTGATTGATATTATCCAATATTTATTTTTATTCCAGGCAAAGTATTCTGTGCATCGTGCAGTTCAAACTCCATTCCACTGCCTCGGTATGGCCAGATGAAACCGGTTAGAGTGTGCGAAGAATGCTATCAGTCGACAACTAACAACCGTCCGCAAGCGTCGTCACAAAATCGGTGAAACAGCAGTTCGGGCTCTATTTAGAGCCTACCGGTAACTTAGGCTCTTATCTGGTAACTAGCCCATGTCTGATAAATGGTATTTTAGGCCAATATCAGGGGTTTAATTATGTAAGCAGTCGCTGAGAATTCTTATATGCAAGAGATTGAAATCTACAACTTTGTGAATAGGTACAGAAGAACCATTTTGGCTTGTGACTATATTTTTTTATTAAAGGGTTAAGGCTATTACTCGGTGCTAAAGATTACTGTAACACTGTGACCTGCATGTATTGTGCTCGCCTTTTTTTTAGAGTTCGCTGCTTAGGCCCGTCAGGGATAATAATTATATAAGTAACTTTCCAAAGGAGATTGAAACTAAAACTATCCAATATATATATATATAAAACACTAATCCATAGATTTCAACCTCTTGCAATTGAGAAATGTTAACAAGTGCGGTTACTGGTACATTTTGACTGTGTTTGATTATGGATATCTAGGTATCTAAGATCTGTGTCTATATATTGGTATTTTAGTATCTATTACCGGTTTTTTATCTCGTGTCTACGCTACTGGTATCCTAAATATGCGTATAGTTAAATACATTTTTTATTAGTACCGCTAGCGCCTTCGGTCGAGACCAGTATCGTAGACTCGTGTTTAAATGCCGGTAATCGACTCGTATTTACTGCGTACAGGAAATTTAGGCTCGTGTGTAACGTTCACTAAAATTAAAGCGTATTTTTCGTTACTTTCGTATAATTTTTAATGCTATTTAAAGAAACTATATAAATTATTGCAGATTTTAAAAGTTGGGAAACTTGTTTTGTTTTATTAAAGAGTTTACCACACCGCTTTACTTCCGATGGTCGCGAGTTCGATTCCTGCAAACAGTTGTATTCATGAGTATGATTGTTTGTATCGGTCTGTGTGTTTTCTATGTAAATTATATATTTACAAAAAAAAAATTACGTATTTATATATATATTATAACGGTTGTCTAGTGCCTAAAACACAAGCTGTGCTTACCGTGGGACTAGATGGCGTTGTGATAATTGTCCAGAATTATTTAGTTAACGTTAACCACATAGGGCCTAATTTCGTCCACGCAACCCTGTAACGCAGTAAATATATTGACTATTCCATCTATACATGTATATTTATATCGTTGACTTTTGCTGTTGTTATATAGGACAAATCTTTTTCCATATTGACTGATGATTATAATTAATGACTTATAAATTTAGGTAGCTCTCTAATATTGTTGCTACAAATAATTGTTATATATATACATTCATTGTATACGTTACTTGCCAGCCAATATATACAGTTACAGTGGCTTCGCTGAAATGTACTTTACATTTGTATAGTTTCTTGATTAATTTTGATTTAAATAATATTGTGATTACTATGCTTTGTAATTCACCTTCAGCTATCAAGAAGCTTGCTTTGTAAGACGAATGTTTAGATTAGACAGTGAAATTACAGGATATGCAGTACATGATATACATACTTCCTAGTTCGTCGAAAGACTAATACTTTTCTTTTACTACATAATTAATTATATAATAAATATGTGACTAACTAATAATATCAATAGGGATGTATAAGGAGTTTCGTTAATTCTAGTTTGTATGTTACAATAGGGAATCCGAAGATTTATTTTTTGTATCTTAATTTGAATTAAAGGTTATTGTTGTTGGAGATGCAACATGATCCTTACTCTCAGTGCTAATATTATATTTGACCAAAGTAATAATATTAATTAATTTTTATTTTCCGAATAAATACAATGTATATCATAATTCTTAATTAAAAGCAAGCCAGTATTTTTAACACTATTCGTAATTATCTACATATATTTAGTTTTCTGTCGTCATTTTTTTAATATATTGGCGATCGCAAGTAACGTACTCTCGCCCCAAACTATCTAGATCAAGTAGAAGCGTTCAAATAAATATATTTTTAAGTGTCTATATATACATTATAAAGGATGTTTATATTTTTAAAATACATTACCTTTAATATTAAAATACTGTTTTAAAATAATTATTATAAATTTAACTGAATAAAAATACTTTTTAAAAAAAGATTCCATAATTTTTATATTCAATCTTGTTAGTTTTTTAAGTATATAATATATGTAAATTTTGTATAGGTTAATTATAGGGCTTACATAATCATTTGATAATGTTAGTACGGTTTTCACAAGTTCATGTATATTCTAGTTACAAGATTTCAATGTATCAATATAATGTTATACTGTATTTTAACGTGTAAATATATTTCAATGTAATTAGATAATATTGGTGGTTTGATTTGCCTATACATCTGCATTAGCACTATGGTCGTTCATAGCTTCGGTGGATGAATTAATAAAATCACAATAAAAAGCACTACTACGGTTGGTAACCGCAGTAAATGTCTTTTTTTAGGTAAAATAAACAAAATAACTAAGTTATCAATTCTTTGTAGTATATTTGATATGGCAATAGAAAAAAATCTTGATTATTAGAATTTTAGTCTCTATTCTTGTTATAACGACTTAACCAATTAGAGTGTGATTTTTAGAAATGTATGATGGTCAGCTTCTCTTAAAAATCGCTGTGTGTTCTATTCCAATCTATAAACTATTATTCCGCATTCTACGGTGCACGGATAACTAGACTACCGAGGCTGTAGCGGGAACCAACGAAGGATGAGATAATGAGGTTATTGATAATAAAAATCAGGTTAGTTAATCGTGGTCAATTTACTAGAAGTGAACGACGAGCCAGTTTAATATGGGATTTACTCATGATAATAGAATGGGCATCCGTCTGCGCTAACATTTTACGCTGGTGGGGCTCCAGTGGCGTATATACATGAACATGAGGTCAGGTCAGTCAGTCATCATGGCAAATTCATCAGAAATTTATAATGTTGGTATCCAGGCGAACCGGGAGGTTAAGCTGATATGGTATATTGTTTATAATGTGTTTATTAGTACACATTCCTAACAATCCCCTTCTCCCTAATCTGGGGTTTAATCTGAATTGATTTAAATACAATTCATTGTTGTACTATCCTTTATATAATATAAAATATAAAACGATAGAAAATATACAGAAAGTCGGTCTGTATATCCATCCTTATCCAATGGCAATACAAGATCTTGGAGACTTCTCACACGGTTAAGAGACCGAAAAGGAAAACTGAAAGACAGTAAAAGTTCTGACCTCTTCATTTACTAATAAAGCAGCATTCTATGCACCAGCTTATAGTGATGCGACAAATCTCCGATTTGCAACAAAAAAATTGAAATGTTATCAAAACTAAATCGATAAAAAGGTCAGATTTCATTGAACACAAAGATGGGATTAATACCCTGTTAGTATAATACTGAACTAGGTATTAAAAGTTGGGAAACAGTACAATAGGATTATCAGAATAGGATAGAATATTCTTTATTCGAATAAATTTAAATTTAAGCGTAGTCTTATTTTGAGAATTACATTTTACATCATGCCCTTTAAATGTTGATACGACTCGACTCCAATTTTGTCTTCAGTTTGTCTTAATTTGGCTGTGCCTTGGTCTTCCTCTCCCTCTCTTTCCTTGTATTTTTCCCTCAATAATAATTGTCATAAATTCTAACTAACCTAGTTCTAACATTTTCCCTCTCCTATAGTATTCTATTTTCCTTTTCTTTCACCCTGTGTAGTAGATACTGTCTTTTTTAGTTCTTACTTTATCTTTCCAGCTACTTCTTCCCATACTTCTCCAAAGTACCTAACTAGTTGAGTAAATAAATCAAAATAAATTAGTCGTAGTGATTAGAGCAGGCTAATCTCTACAAGCATCACTCGTTCAGGTCTGACTGACGAGCCAGCCGTTGTTGGGTTGGAATTAGTTTCCTGAGTATATAGGCTGGTTGGAGGAGAGCCGAGTGGAGGAAGATTTGAAAATATAAATTACTAACAATGAAAACACCCTAAACAGTCCCTACATAAATCTAAAAATAAAAAAAAATACTCTATTACTATGTAATATTATCTTATCTACTATACTTAATATCTACTTGATAAAATACTTGGCTGACGATTGTATAGTGTACCTATTTGTTTTGTATTTTACCAAAATAGACTTTGTTAGTGGTCTGCGTGGGTAACTCTCTCTAAACAATTTCTACTGACCGTAAATAAGTCATAAAGAAATTAAAAAGTAAATAAACAAATAAAGTAAATAAAAAAAATAATTAATTAAAAAATAGTAAATAAAGATTAATTAAACTTATTTTTATTGTGTTGGAATTGTTTGGAATCAAGTAGATAGGTAAGTGTGTACTAAAAGAACTCTGGACTTGGACCTGTGTCCAAGTCCAGAGTTCTTTTAGTATATCTGTCTCTTAGTATATTTAGTATATCTATCTGTATACATGAATTAAGCGTATCTCTGTATCTGTATTTTAAAGTTACTAACAGAATATGGATGTAATTCAAATTAAATAAATGAACAAAAGTATAAAAAAGATAAGAAAGTTTTAAGATGAGAGCTCTCCATTAGGAATTTTCTTCAAGTAAAAAAAGGAAAGAAAAGAGGTACACAGCTCTGTCAGTCTGTTAGAAGTTATTTCTAAATAAACTTATTTAGAAATTAATTAAAATAACTTCTCATTGAAATATGTACAGCCCCAGGTATACTACCTAATGTCATTAAACAAATGTTTTGAGAACATTGAAGAGTTTATGAGCAACATAAAGGTACCGTCGGTATTGTTATTAAAATTCATTTTTCAACGCCAATTGTAAAAGGACCGAGTTTCAGTTTATTTTACCTGCCGGTTTCATAAGTCAACAAAGGGTTTTTGTAAAATAAAATTCATTTAGGAAACCAATGTTTTGTGCTGTTGTTATCGTTTTATTCTAAAAATGACTTTCTCTGAGTTAAGTCTAAATCTGTTTTATATATATATATTGATAGGTTATACAAATAAACCTACTTATTCACTAAACAGCGATCAATTTCCTGTCGCCGATAAAAGGTAACCAATACCTAAGGTGTAATGTGGTTATTTTCGTACCAGACGGAGAATTTATTAATACGATGGTATTTTATCTAAGACTGTATGTCCCCGTAAATAATAGAAAGGCAACTCTCTATATCATATCTATATATATCTTTAGAAATATTGTTATACAAAGCTCACTTCATCAGGTTCAGTCCGGACGAATCGTAACGACAACTTTTTGAAAGTCCAACAATGTAACGCCGATTTCAACAAGAGCCGTCCGACTACCATCCGAAATATACGAGAATACTGAGTGAGGAGATGCAGTCAATAAAACAATATTAGTAAAATAGCAATATCAGTCAAAGTACAATAACAAACAGTGTCTACATAGACGCTGTTTAATATTGAAATTTACCCAATGTCATCGTGCTGACTAAAAATTAATTTCGAATTCATTTTT